CCTCTGCCTCTGCCTCTGCCTCTGCCTCTGCCTCCTGAGTGCTGGGATTAAAGGTGTGCGCCACCATGCTCTACTCCACTACTTTTCTTTTCTTTTCTTTTTTTTTTATTTATACTTATTTTATTTTCTGTGCATTGGTGTTTTGCCTGCATGTATGTCTGTGTGAGGGTGTCAGATCTTGGAGTTACAGTTGTGAGCTGCCCTGTGGGTGCTGGGAATTGAACCCAGGTCCTTTGGAAGAGCAGCCAGTGCTTTTAACCTCTGAGCCATCTCTCCCGCCCCTCCATTGCTTTTCTTGAAGGCAGAGGCACCGAAGGAAGAGCCTTACAATTTGCCCGGTTAGTTTCTGTTGGGAAGACTCACTCTGCCTTCCTGTCGCTCAGGGGTACCTTTGGTGCTCCTGGATATATCTTTCCAGACTCGATGATGACAGTGATGTCTGTCCTCTCCCTGTGCCTGCTGTGACACTTTGCAATGCCCACTGCGAGGAGTCCCCAGCTCTTCCTTTCTCCAGGCAGAGCCTCATCCAAAGAATCACCCGTTCTGACTGCTCAGTGGAAATGCCAAGAACCTTGGCAGTTCTAAAACGTTCCCTTTCAAAGGATCTTTCTTTGAATGATAAACAGAATGGAAAGTATCACTGGTTCTTCCTTCCAGAAAACGTCACAGGAACCACTCTGCAGAACAGTGCCGTATACAGGGATATGCAAAGATGGATGCGACTTCCTGACCACCAGGCCCCAGGTGGGCAGACATGGCTGAGGATAACCAGAGCCACCACTGAAGCTTGACCTAAAGACATCAGGCAGTGCAAGGATCTCCTTCCATGGGAAGCTAGGGACACCGCATGGAGCTGGTCACTAAAGGATAGAATGGACCCCCAAATGGAGTTGAAGCTGGTTATCCTCATAGCCCACAGTTCACCTCCTGAAGAGAGATATTTTCATTCAGTCCCACACCCCCCCACACACACACATACACACACCTGTATATATGTTTGGCTGGAAGTTTGTTTTGTCTGTTGTTTGTTGGTTTGGGTTTTTAGAGACAGAGTCTCATTGTATAACAACTCATTAAGTAGGTAGGGTTGGCCTTGAATTTGGCAATGATTCTCCTGCCTCTGCTTCCAGAGCAGGGATTAGAGGTGTGTGCCACTATGATGCCTGGTTCATGAGGTTTTGGGTTTTTTTTCCCCCCAGTTGCTTAAAGCTAGAGGATAAATCTACTTGTTGCTTAGCCCATCTTAGCTGGAAATACCCCCTCCCCCACAAATCTGCTTCTACTGGCTCCCTACTGTTGTGACCCTGGTTGCTAAGTGATGCTGTTTGATCATGACTCCCAAGATTCAGGTTGGAAGTGTCATTTCCCCCAGTGGGACTCTATTGGTTGGGTCAGGCAAGGGGTCTTTGCCATTGTTACAGTGTGATTAGCTTTAAAGTAACTGCCATGTGTATTCAAGTTTGAGAAACACGGGCAAGCCCTGCCTTCTTTTTGGCAGACAGCTCCCACATAGCTGGGCAAGGTCACTGGCCGCAGCTGCCAACTGTAAACACATCACTATGAAGGCCACAGAGCAGAGGGGGTATGTTGAACTTAGTAGTGAGTGTGAGTTACTCTGCAAGACCCATTAAATTGCAGATTCCTGCCAGGCATGGTGGTATATGTCTATAATTCCAGTGCTCAGAAGGAGGGGGCAAGGAAGATTGGCAGCTCAAGGCTAGCCTAGGCTACATAAGCAAGACCCTATCTCCAGTAGCCAAGCAGATGTAGCTCAGTGGTAACCTATGTGTCTGGCATACGTAAGACCCAGGGTTTAATACCCAGTATTGTGGAGATGTAGATTCCAGGGCCCACTCAGACCTGGAGGTCAAGAATATAGATGACAGGGCCTGAGGATCTGTATCTTTAACAGGCCTTTCAGTGTTTTGATGCAAGTGGCCCTGGGATCACCACATAATCAAACTTAGTTTTCTTATCCGCACAATGAGAATGTTGATTGGGCATCTGAAAAGCTGACCTTTAGTTCAAAATTTATTTTTAACTTGTTCTGTGACCCTTCCACAAGACACTCAATGTTTCTGTGATTTCTTTTCCTTATAGGCAAATGCTATCAACATGCCCTGCTGGGTCTCCATCTTGGGCTGTTGAACGAGGTCAGTGGAGACACTGGCAGTGAAATGCATGGGAGTGCTTTAACAAACACAGTCCTGTGGAAAATGAAGGTAGCGTGGGCAAGGAAGGTAAGCACGGACAACCAGGATGCCGAGGAGACCAGACTCTGGGATTTACCTTGGCACCACCAGGGAAGCATTCTTGAGAAGCTGGCATGGAAGAAGTGAGTGGAGATGGTGAAGACAGGCCTGAATGAGGGGCAGCCTTCTCTAGGAAGCAGATGCCATGCCGGATGCCGAGGCCAGGTCAGTTTGAACAGGGGAGACTGGAGCAGTGAAAATCCACAGGCGTTAAATGCAGCGAGTGGAAGTCTTTGAGCTGGGATGTGGCTCAGGGGGCACAGTGCCTGCCTAACATGCACAAAGTCCTGATCCCCATCCTCAGCACCACGCCAACAGGGGATGGAGGCAGGAGGAGGAAGTTCGAGGTCATCCTCAATTACGTGTTGAGTGCAAGGCCAGCT